CTGAAGATGAAGAGTATCTTAACCTCCTGAGAATGAAATACTTGCATTCAGTGATACATGAAGAAGTGTAGAAGAATATACAGCCAGGCTGGGAGTGAGGAAAGTGCTCGTCAAAAGAAAGACCCCTCTGTGACTTATTTCTGTTCCACTCCTCTACGTGTCCTTGGCTCATGTGATACTTCATTTAGATAAACTTCAGACAAAACTTAACAAAATCCTTCTTTAGAAAAGCAGGCTGTTATGCCTGGCAGTGAATCCAAGGGAATATTTGAGACGATATAAAAGCCATATATCTATGAGCCTGTCAATGACACCAGTGACATGGCTTTAAAGGCTCCTTCAGTTATGACAAAAAGCTTCATTTCACAGTAAAGAAACATCACAGCTAGGCTACGAGAATACACATGGGATGCTCCAGCCAAAAAAAGTCATTTGCCTGTAAGGCTTGCCAGGATGGGTAACATGCTGTAAGAAAGAGTGTAAAATGATACCACACTCTGCAGCAGCTTCCTGCTGAGTGTCCTCTCAGAAGATGTTCTTTCCCAGGAGCTAAAAACACATTTCTGGTATTTTCTCAGAATCAACTGTTTTCTCTCTCCAGCTTAGAAGATAATACCTGTCAGCTACAAAGAAAGACATCTTTTTTTTTTTTTTAATCACAAAACTCAAGCTTGTATTTGTCTTCTCAATGCTCTTCAGACTTTGGACTTTTCTCTGTTAAAAGTTGGTTCCAAATAAATATTTGGATGCCTTTTATGCTGCATTTTTCTATGCCTGACAACGTAAAGAATCTACATGAAGTCAAAGCATAATGTCTCTAGAACATTAGACAACCATGGGAGCCTAGCACCATGAATTTGCTGAAACATTTTATTTATGATTCAATTTCTAAAAGCTACTGGGTAACCACAATGTCGGTGAACCCTGAATGAGCTTGGCAAGCAATAAGCTCTACCTCAAGAAGGAATTCCAAGTCAGATAACTATGGGTAAATAGGAAGGAATAGCATTAGACCTGATAGATGTTCTGAGTCAGCTAAGCAAGGATGAAATGCATTATAATATGGAAAAGTAGTAGAACAAACTCAGAATCACAAGCTGTTTCCTTGTGTTTCCATGAAAATTCATGGAAACCTGTGTACTTCCAAAGATTCTATTCAATTTGCAGATGACACCCAGTTAGAAAACACTACAAAGATGTTGAAGGGCTTCAGATGGATTCAAAATGATCCTGACATGTTGGACAACAACTGGTAGATAAGAAAGTGAAAAAACCAGAGCTGAATGACTTCTCCTAAGCAGAACTTCTCAGCTGCACGAATGCCAAATGAGGAACAACTGGCTAGGCAGGAGTTCAGCAAGGGAACAACACAGGGATTTTAGCACATTATAAATGTCAGCAACGCCCTGGGTGTGCCAAAAAAAAAAAAAAAAAGGAAAACCCTCTGTACTTCTCAGTCTGGGTATGACTACCTCTGGGGGTGATGTCTGTGTCCAGGTTTAGTTCCTGTTCTTTAAGAAAAAATGAAACAAATTCAAAAGAAAAAGGGAAGAGCTATAGGAATGATCCCACACCTATGATGAACATGTCAAGATGGAGCAAACTGAGTTTCTAATAGAGATAAAAGGTATCTGAGAACATGCCTAAGAAGCTCCAATAAAGTGAAGGATAATAAAAAGAAACTGGAGATACTTTGCTTCCCATGTTTCTTTGGGACAAGGTAACTGATTTGAGGGGGAGCAGACAGATTTAGGTTAAAAAATGGCAATGATTTTCTAACAGAAAGGACAGTTTAATAAAACACATCATCCTGAAGGCTCTGGTTTATCCCTTTCAAGACCAGCTTACACATTTACTGGCAGGTTGATGCTGTCTTTTAAGCAAAAGGGTAAAACAGCCCAGCACTTCTTGATTGTTAAGATAAAAAGTTTCTTTGAAAAGAATCCATAGACCCTCTTGTATTTTACCATTACCTGGGTGGCTATGAAGAACAAAGCCCTTAAGATACAGCTAAGCTTTACTGTCTTACAATACTTTGATTTTACTATTAGAATTATAAACATTTGTATTTGTAACTGGCAGTATTTGGGAACCTGTGCCTGCTGACAGGCAGAAACACACTTGCCATCCATATGGGTGTTGGAGGGGAGGAGGTTAAAAATAAATGCATTCATGGATTACCTCCAAACCACCAGCAGCCTACAGACACCAGCCCTCAACGGGACTCCTGAGGTGCCTTTCAGCCTGTTGCCTTTGATTCTTTGGACACAAGGAAAGGCTCTGATGGTGCCTGGCTTTCCTTCACCGTGACTGGAAGCCATATAGACACACATACTGATTCATTATGAGAAACAACTTTTCCCTCGTCTTCCCTGGGTGCCTTCCAGATTGTAATGGCTGATAATGTAAAACAGGTCTGGGTCTGGCCTATCCTCATTATTAACCTCTCTGAAGACCGGTTCTGAGGACGGCACTCCCACCAGTTCTAATCTGCCTGCTTCTCTGCTCTCCCTACGCTCTTCAGTGTCTTACTGCAAAAAGCAACTTCTTGTTCACCAATCTAGGACAGAAGGTCTCCAAAAGCTAATGGCAACTGAGAGAAATCTGTTGGCTATCTGGAAGAGCAGAGCTTTCATCTTCAGACATACTCCTCATGTGCCACCTGCTGGCTCCTGTGAAATGGTGCATAGAGAAGTGTTCACAGCCGAGATACTCGCAATTAATGTGGGAAAAGGATGGTACAGGAAGACAATCAGGGTTACAATTTCTTCCTGGAGTGTGGTGCAGGTCCAAAGTATACGAATATTCTGCCCTTCCCATTTTTCCACCTGGTTGGGTGCAATGCAGAAAGTGTAAAGCAACTGCCAAGAAAACCTCCATGGCAGCAGAGTCTTGAATTTTAGAGTTTAACCTGGCTTCTAGGGAAAGCTACTTTAGGCTTAGCTTTGTGAGCTGTGGTTAAGATATCTGTGAGATGTTGTAGTTTCTTTTGCCATCTCCTTTTAGCTCTACCTTTGGGCACATTTCACTGGGAACAGGAAGAAGAGATAAACCAAATACTTTACTTCTGTACTTGCTTCCACAGCTCCATCTGTGCTTCTCCCTTCTCACTATATCCTCTTCCTCCACTCTACTGTGCATCCTCTTTTACTACAAGCAAATATGACCATTTCCAGTTAAACTGCCTACTCCTTTGGCTGCAAAGAAAAAAATGACTCAATTGCAAGTGGCTGGGTTAGAAAACAAAAATAGTGGACAGGACAGAAGTCTTCTGCCTAGTATTCTTCACGCTGAAAGAATCAATGGTACTGAACATGATTATACTTTACTGCTCCTGCAAGGGGTAACTAGAAAAGCACACTTATGCAGCACTAGTACTTGGTGTCTGCTCTATCAACAGGAAATATGATTAAGAGAGTTGCTACACATTTAATTCTATATTTTTCAGGAACCCCATCAGCCCACAGTTGTTAAGAGCAGATATGGCACCTGGTACCTTGACCCTAAAACACACAAAAAGCAAAATGTGGGCTAACCTTTAATGGATCCAAGAGAAACAGGCGATGGTGTTCACAATGTTACACCACCACCCTTAAGAAGGCACCATAAGCACTGTGTACCACTGACACTGTGCCCAGTGAGCTCACGACCACAGGGCAGGCAGGTCATGGGAACACACCTGTGCACCACCTGCAGCCAGAATAAGAGGCACAATGTCTCTTACTGTTCACCTGACTGGTGACACTGACTGCCTGCCTTTTTCAGTCTGTGACAGTGAGAATCCACAGTGTAAGGCCTGGCAATGACCAAACACTGACAGCTGTTATCATCAGAAAGCTGCTACCCGCTTCCAGCCTCACCTGTGATCTGTTCTTCTTTCCCTCCTCAACAGAGCTTCATAAAAGCACCACTGGGTATTTACACACGTTGTCCTTATGCTCAGGGAGAGCTCTCTACGAGTCTCCACAGAGCTTCCCCTGCCAAACTCTCGTTCTCAAGCTGGCTGTGGAACTTGCAGATGCCCCACTAGTACTGCCATAGGGAATAACAGGGCTCCTTAATTTGCATTTCCTTTGTGCTTGTTCATATTTCCATTTTGTTCTATTATAAAAGTAAAGCTGGAAGAAGTACTGCAGACACACAAGGCTTGTGTAAGAGCAGTACTCTCCAACATCCCTAATACAGCAGCTGTGGATACCATGGGATCAGACACTGGCCAGGCTCAAAAGGGCTCCATAAATAGCATCCCCTATTGCCACTGTCAGAGCCAGAACAGTGGGAGAGATACACTACGGGTCTGATTCAGCGGGGCTCTTAAGCTACAGCTGAGATTCCCTGTCACCACACTAGATGGCACAGTTTACAGAATAAAATTCAGAAAGTTCATTTGAGATAGCTGTTCTTAGGAAGTCCTGGCCCACGTGCACGACGGCTGTAGAGTTGTTTGTAGAATTGTAAGAGTAAATATCCACCCCACTGTGTTGGTTTTAAAATGTGAAAAAGGGGGCAGGTTTGAGGCTCCTGATCTTAGGCCAGTCAGCTGGTAAATCTGCAAAGTCACATGTAGCTTATCAAAATACGGCCCAGCAACTGCTACCACATTTACTGAATATACAATGGTACAATGAAGCCTCAGCATTCACAGAATACTAACTTCCAAACTAATGCCACATCAGAAATGACTGCATGAACAAACTAAAATCTTGAATTAATTAGAAACAGAATTGGTAGTGTCCCTGAGCCTACAAGAAACAGTTTCCTTGCCCCTTTATTGTACTGTTGCTTTGTTTGATTTAAATGAAAGCTTTAAAAAAATATAAGGTACATTCTGTTAATCTGCTTTGGAGATTCTCTTAGGAGGCAGAGGACTCCATGTTCTATAGGATGTGAGCATTTAAAGAATTCCTAGAGAGGAAAGGCTACTAAAACCGAGTGGTAAGTTACCGTCTGCAGTGATCTCTGCATTTGCTTCAGAACAGGACAGCCAGCCCTCAGCATCCTGTGATCTCCTGGGCCACGACTCTTCTCGCTTCTGTCCAGCATTTCTGCTTCTAACACTTGATATGTCATTAGTGACTCAGGAATTTCGGCCTTAGCATTCGCCAAGAACCCTGTTTTTAAAAAAGAAGATAAAAAATCAATTATAGACATCCTAAGAGGAGTTCCAAAGCACAAATTCACCGCTACCCGGACAGGGTATCATTGCTACAACCATGACTGTACAATGTTAAGACTAGTTACATCCAGCATAAATCTATGTTGCCTTTGAAAGAGAAAGGTTTTCTCCCCTCTGTTGGCACAAGCATTTGTGTGGATTAAAAGAAACATTTTTTAAAATTTTCTGCGTTAATTTTCAGCTGGATGAAAGCAAAGGCCTGCACGCAACAGGCAGTGAGGACAGGGGAGCCAAAGGATCAGGCAACTTTTCTGCAACAGTGTGGATTTATGATGGACTGAAGTGCAATTCTACCAGGAGGTTTGCAAATTATGAAGCCTTTTAAGGTCCTACCACTCCCATGCAACACCACAAGCAAGTAATCATTGATAAAGCTAAACCCCTTGCGCACAAAAACCTCCCTCAGCTTCAAACTGTGGCTATTCCACAGCAGACTACAAGGATGGCCCTTGTCTCAGAGACCAGAGCACTCAAAGTACATTTACATTAGTGGATGCTGATGGCATCTGGAAGCAACTGTGCAAAAATAGCACATACCCTCTGGGGACTATGTAGAACTTGTGTGGGAATCTGGGTTACAGAACAGTCCTTCCCTGCCCGGCTGTGCAGGAAGCTTGTCTCTGGCAGCACCTGGGTCCTTTGTGACTCCCTCTTTTTGTAATAATTCACAGGTGTTACTAATAATGACAATTACTCTCTAAGCACTCAAAGCAATCTGTGTGCTTTGCTTTAGTTTCATCTATAGATACTGGGTGAAAAGAGTCTGACAACGGAAGAGGCTTTTATGAACATGGAAGGTGAATAGAACCAGAGGAGACCTTTGCTCTTTTCTTGGTCGTTAAAGCAGCACTCTGCCTTTCATCATGTGTATTTTTGTGTCTTCAAAATAAATTGTTCCTTAATGATTTCTGTAATAGTCCCTTCTAAACTGTGTTAGTTTCTTGTCTCTTCCTTTCTAAGATGTCTTATCAAACATGTTTAGGAAAAAAATACTGGGATTAGCAGCTCTAAATACTACCTCTACATCTGTGCTGAGGGCTGGCAGAAGGATGCTCTTTTACTGTAATGATACAATAATTAATCATTTTTGTCTGCTCTGCTTCAGGGGGATGACTAGGAATGTTAAATTGCAGCACACACATACTACCTGAAGAACAGTAGTATGTAGGTGCCCTACCCAATAATCTCAGCTGAGCAAGGTGGTATAAAAATACAGAGCATGGGACTGTCTCTGTTTTGAAGGTTACAAAAAAGGAACAGGAGGAAACTGCAAAAATATCATCTACTATGCAAAGAGTTTCAGTAATCAACACAAGCCATTACAGTCAAGTGTCTGTTTTATACAGCAAGCCTAAGCTGCACCTTGAAGCATCAACAGTGGGAAAAGTGCACCCAAAGCCACATTCACTGAGAAAGTGCCCAGGCAGGTCCTAGATTCTCAGCTCTTTCCTTTCACTGTATTACTGAGCAGAAGATCTGAGCAGTGCATGTTTAGCACATGCCTGAACGCATCCCACACATCAAAGTACCAAAACAGATATTTTTACTTAAGCACAAGCTCAGCACTTTGTTGGAGGAGGGCTTCAGAGAAGGTGGCTTAGCTACTGTGGTAAGCAAAGAAAGGAAAAATATTTAGATCGTGAATTCTGTGTATTCCCACAGGCCACCATACACCATATCTGTCAGGGAACTTCACCATGAAGACTGCACACTTGTGCTTCTATAAATTCGAATGACATTTACTGTCCCGTTAAGCTGAGGGAGCACTGCTCTAAATGACACTGAAAGATTAAGAAGTGCACACACTGGAAATAGACTTATTGGCACATCCACTTAGCCATTCTCTTTTCTAATGAGATAGTGGATAAAATCTCATCAGTGGGCTTTAGAAATCAAGTAATAACAGCTTCGTTCAGATCAAGAGAATGGATTTTAAAAGACAGCAGTCAAAACTGAATGGAACTGCCTCCCCTAACTCCTTCTCTGGTGTTAATCTTTGGTGTTAACAGTCTACACTGATCAACATTTTCACAGTTTGTCACTCCAGAATTACCAATTCAAAATACAAAGTCGTAAGTTTCATTTACTAAATTTCTTTGGTTCCTAGCAAGATTATTCTGTATAGCTTTTAAATTTTGAAATAGAATTTGACATCATGACTTCTAGAGGAAACTGTAAAATGAAGGTAAATTGAAATAAACATCAAATATCCTCTGCACTAATGGATTCTGAATTCCTGGTAGTCCAAAAAAAGCTTCCTGAGCATAATGTGGAACACAGGAGAGCAGGACAATGTTAAGAAATCCAATTGTAGTCATTAGAGTGTGATGCAGAAGTTACAGAATTAGTAGTAAATTCATCTCACTTCTCAGGAATACCAGAGAAAGCCTGGATTTTCATCAGTACAAGCATTAAAAATAAAAGCAAATCAGTCACCCTGTTGGAGTATATAAATCTAACTCCCAATAGCTCTGCTAAAATGAAACTTCATAAAGCTCTGCAGTTCCTACAGCTCTAATGCTTGCCTTCATGCAGAGAGGGAAGAAACCCAAGCATTCAGCCTGCGACTTCTGCGTGTCATCTCCCTTTATTTTTGCATTCTGTGTGGTTTAAGACACTGGCAGCACAGCTACCTTGGGCACCTAGCTGTGGAGACAAAACGAGGGAAGGGAAGTTAAAAAAAGGGAGAGATGGCAGAAAAGGCGCGGTGGGAGAGGAAGAGAAAGCAAACCTTCCAACTTTTTCTCACCTAACTTCTGGGGTTTTTTCATTCTGACCTGCCTTTCCCCCCCCTCCAGCCCCCGCCAGGCGCCACGGGGAGCCTCCTCCCGCCCCGGCGGCGGCTCCTCCCAGGGGCCGGTGCCCGCCTTAAAGCGGCTCCCGGGGGCGGGAGGCCGGGGGGACGGCGGTGGCCCCCGTTGCCAGCGCCCCGGCCATGGCCCGCGACCGCGGCCCGCCCGTGCTGCGGCAGCCCGCCGCCCCG